TCCACCATTCGACGGCTTAAACCCAATTTGTGTAAACAATTAGACTTTGTGGCCAGTCTTGCCCTGCCCCGGTAGGACAGAACCCCGTCGTGTGTTCACTCGCCGTGGTTAACGGTGTGACCTTTGCACCTGTCGTGTGATTGGCCCAATCGGAGTGTTCATTTCTCCGATAATGTATCATGTCTTTGTTGTTGTTTAACCTGATTGAGAGAACCCGAAATAACTGAATTCATAGTATCCTGCTGAAATGTGGTTCTTCCTCGCCGTGATGACAATAGAGACGTGCCCAAAGCGCGCACACATACACACAACACGAACGGAAAGATGGCGAAATTGTGAAGGTGTTTCTGTGGGAGAAGTATCACGACTTTCTTCTGTTAATGAAATTGTCCCTTTTATTGTGCGGCCTTTACGCATTCTGTTTCACAATATTGCACTGTTGTCACCGCGGCTTTTACCGAAATTCTGCAGGTTGTGTTTCCATGGCTGCAAATGACTTTTCGAACACGACCTAGCCTCCCCGTCCTAACGATTTCGTGTTATTTCGGTTACCATATAAGCTTTATTGCTCTCCTGCGAATGCGAAATACATTCTCAGTCAGTTTACCACGAATGAGTCCATAGTCAATCAAAATGAAGTGGATATAAACACAGTAGAAGAGCGGTTAAAGTTTTTCGTTTCGACACACTGCTTCAGGCATTAGCATTTATCGATCGATTATAAGTTACTATGCACACACAATAGACGGTAGTCGTGAAAGCCGCAAATGACATGCACCGAAATGACACCAGAAAAAAGATAGATTTCATTTTTTATCCAACCAAAAATCAGTGGAAATTGAATGAACGGGAACGGGAAACGACAAAACGTAGGCTCAAAGTAAAAGTAACAAAGAAACATAGGAAAACAATCTCCAAATTTAATTCTTTTGGGGTAGGAGCAAAGCAACAAAAAGCACGATAAGAAAACTGGAAACAGTTCATAAATACCAACAATCCTGGGTCACGTTGTATTCTCTTCATGCCGAAGTCGTTTTGAAAAAAAAACAGAAAACAAGTGGAGGTTAATCAAACAATCAAATGTCTACCAATGTGTAGCATTTCCGGATGTTCCGAAAGAATTTCCGACACATTCAATGTGTCACCTCTCTCAGAAGCGAATGAAGACAGTCAATGCTCACATCAGATGTTTGCGCAGAACAGATGGGGTTACGGGGAAAAAAATGTATCGGTCTCAGTTTGTCGAGAAATATAAAATTTCAAGTGAATTGGCAATTCAGAAAACTGATAATTCGATTTTAGTGCTTCATATTTCTCGAAACTTGGTAATCCATCAGGATTTTAGAAACCTTTGCAAGATGTCAGTACCAACAGACTTGCATTGAATTATTCCCATTTGGGAAACCTCATGTAAAAGATTTACACAGCAAGCGTAACACGATTTCCCCTTCACAACTTGTTCGGGTCGATAAAAAGAAATGTCCAAAATGTATACCCCCCCCCCAAGTGAACCATTTTTCTTACAAATAATTCCGTATAATACACGCCAACATGTTACCTACGGCCATGTACAGCAAATTTAAACATGATCCCCTGTCACGTGATAATTTGCATCGTTTTATATGATCTGAGTTCGGATACATCTTATTCCGCTCAACTTTGCTTTGTAGAATTACAGATGTTTTATTTATCTACACTTCAAAATAGATTGTCAAAATGGATTTGATTGCAGTTTGTTTTCGGGGCTCGTTGACTTGTAGATTGCGATCGTAATCACCGAATAATCCAAAGAATTACAACGACACTAACTTTGAATGAGTATTCCAAAGCTATTCCTGTGTGCAAAATGTTTGATATTTGATCAATCGTTGCTCATCTGGTTGAGACGAGAAACGTGGTCGACATGTATTCGGCATTCACAATCATTCATCGAGTTTCAATGTACATACTTCCCCAGACCAACACGGTTTCGGACGTTTGCGACCGCGGAGGCGCTTAATTTCCTGAATCTTGAAATCTGAACAACGCGCATAACTATAATAGTTCATAATTTCACAATGATTATCTCTGCTACTGCTTCTGATCGTCCGCTGACTAGAGAGAAACAATGAACTGATACTCCGAATCGAAGCTTAGAATTGTGCTATATTCCTCAGTTCATGAAACCGAGTGAGTAATATTTTATTTGTGTACCTTGCGGGTTTATCGTTAACTTTGACCCACGGGGAACCTGTCTGGAGATGTTTTCTCGCTACTCCGTGTACCGGTAGCTCCGCCACCCTATGACCGTTCCACGCCGTCGCGTGCAAAGTCTCGTGGCGTCTCCAGCTTGGGGGAGGGAGGGCATGCCTATTGCGCATCTCTGACTACTCCACTGAGCTGCTAGAACCCCGAGTGCGTATCCATTACATATACAATCTATTTCTATATCTTCCGACACTTAAAGTCACGATTTTTACCACTGAAATATGTGCGAAGTGAAAGGAGACATTCGGTTCGAGCAGATAATCAGTGCGTGTCTGTACACGTGTGTGCTGCATGTACATTTTTCTGTCTGATTGAGAACTAAATCCTCGCAAACACATTTTCTCCCGCTTATACTTTGTGTGATTTCCCCTGTACACTAATTTACATTTCTTTAATAAATTGTTCCCGTGGAACTTGCATAAATCTGATCTGCCCGGTGCGTTAACCATGGAACATCGCATACCACAAAGATGCGACACCAGCTTTCGAAAAAAAATGCAACTTGCTGCATTCCTCCGGAAGATTGCCACCAAACTGTCACTTTTATCACAATGAATGATGGATGGACCAACACGCGACTTGAGAAAAGATATTTGTGGAGCACACATTTTTGCTAGATCACGTTTGGTGGTTACGCTTCCGGGGGGAGGGAGAGGTTGATGAATATGGTTACCTTGTTTGACGGGAATGAGCCAGAAAAAAGGACATCGTTGGGGACGACCTATGGTGGCCAGAAAATTGGCAATCATACGGATAAATATCATGGAATTAACGAGAGGACAAAACTATCGATCGATTTTTGGCTTCAACTTCCGTATGTCTCAAATGAAAAGGATCTCGGTGTCATTGTTCAAGACGACCTAGGTTGTCCTTCAAAGTGCTCCCGGGCGTTGTCCTCCGTTATAAGACATGCTGGTTTGCTAAAGCAAGTATTTGGCAAGTTTTAACCTACGCTGTTTCCAAGGTTATTGTCAGCCTACATTCGGCCGCACATGGAGTACGCAATTCAAGCGTGGAATTCATAGTTGCAGAGCGATCGCAAGATTCTAGAACGTCCACAAAGAATGGTCACCGAAATGGTCAAGGGTCTGCATTCCAAAAGTTACGCGGAAAGACTGGAATCACTGCAACTTTATTCCACACAGTATCACCGTATCCGAGGGGACTTGATCTTGGTGTATCAAATAATGCAGGACCCAGATCAGTTATGTCGCTCATTCTTCACCTTGTCGCCCAACTGTCACCTGAGGGGGCACTCATTCAAATTCGTGCTCCAAAATAGCCGACTAGAATGTCGGCGTCATTCATTCATCCTCAGAATGTGCACTACTTGGAATTCTCTGCCACTACACTTTTTTCCACGCCAACAATGGATTGCTTCAAGCACACACTCAACGAAGCTTTGACAAGCCTAAAATTTCAACATTCGTAGCAGTGCAGGAAACAAGTATAAATTGTGACATCCGTCTACTTTCTATGAACCGTGAATCGAGTCATCTGTGATAAACCCTATAGGACAAGAAAAACAACTGCTTGCAATTATTCCCCATATTAAAAATTTGACTTTAACTTTAATCGAACAGGTGTGAAAATCCTACGAATAAAGAAGTTTCATGCAGCAGCATCAGATGAATTATTTTCCTGAATGATTACCCCACATCTCACTCTAGTTTTATACTATACTAAGATTATGTTATTTCTACCGAACGAGCCACCCGCCTTCGAAACCACCGAGCAACAATCCTTCGGAGCGGTTGGTTTTTGAGGTTGAATCCGATGTATCAAACGAAAAATTCTCAACCGACTAACGGCGATTGCAGTATGATCGCATGAACACCAGTGACCTAATAGCAAACGAACAAGCCGTGTTACGCAACAGCCTACATAATAATTATCCGTAGCAGTCTGTAGGCAAACGTAGTTAACCAGACACGGAGAAACCGTCTACTGTTTCACCGGATGCTCTCTTTTTGTTTTCCATCAGGTAGTGTGATGGAAATAACTGACTGGTTACAACTCGATCTGTTACATTACATCCAGTATACAAACAAGCCCATATTTAGACCCACTGTCCGAAGTATTCGCGATGTGAACAGCAAGTTATTTGAGCAGCTGGGCTATCGAAGAAAAAATCTAGAATTGAGTTCTACATGAGGCTTTTCGTCGTCGTTCAAGATAAAATAGTGCGTCCAATATGAAAGAAGCAATCTGGGTGGTTCACATTATCACCAACACGCTTGTGGGCTCTGAAGTTTAAATTGTGACTCGTATCACCTGATTGCCGAAATTAATGTAACGTTCTCATCATATTGGCTTTCTTTTGGAACAATCTTTCTTTTTGCATTTCCTTTCGACTGTTGCAGACCATCTTTTTTTGCAGTACAAACGGTGTATTCTGTGCATGGCTGACATCGAGCCAGAGAAAGGAGGATCTCTCTCGCAATATTCTTCGTTTATTCCTGCTTCTCTGGTTGATTTGTACATTCGAATGGTGCCGCCACCAACCAACGGCCGGTTCATTTCACGTCAATCCTAATAGAGCATGATAAACTTCGCCGCTCCAAGTCCCATATAGGTTGACAGCGAATAGCTCTAGGTTCTCAAGACTAGGGAGTGTAGGCTTTTTGAGGTCATTACAAAATGGGATCACGAAGCAAAATATCGAGCTAATGTCTTATTTCCAACTCAGTCAACACTCATGACACATTATCAGCAATGTTGCTTACACTATACAACATACTACATCATGATTTTCATTCCGCGAACTTCTCGTGTAATTTTACACTACTGCCATGCGCCCAAATCTTACCTTTTTTGAATTGTATTGTAAGCCTCGGAGCAGCACCGATATCATCCGCGTGGAAGTAGATGAGGACGGATCGTTTCAGCTTAGGTGGGGATTGTGGCCGATTCCCCTCAGGGTAGACATCAATCAGTTCGAATCGACCGCCTTCGATGGTCCACAGCTTCACGTAGTCAAATGGATAGTCATTCAGCTGATATTAAGCTGATATGGTTCCTCAGCAAGTGAACCATCTCTGTTTGAGTAGACAGGATCTTATCTCGGCTATTCCCTGTGAATGACGGTGTTCCCACGGTTCTATACGTTCTCACACCGTCTTACATCTATTTATCAACGGTCTTTTGTCCAAAAACCTCTAATCTCATCTATTGTCTTGCTGATGATGCCATTCTCCACTGTTCTTATCCCACAACCAATCAGGTCATTACCAAGGTCGATCACAACCTCATTGTTATTAATGCTTCGCTTAACTCCCATTCCCAACTCAACAGCGCATGGGGCTCCACAAACCATGTGTTGCAATGCTTTCCGTCTCTTTTAAACGTGTCCTTTATTCTACTCAAGTGATATTTAATTCACTGCCCTTCTGTTCCTGAAATCTTCTCCCTCCTTGGTTTATCCATACATTCTTCCTTCTTTTGATCCCATTTTATTTTCACACTCACTGCTCGCAAAGTCGGTTTTCTATTGCATGCTAACGCTTCTTCACGCCCAAGTATTTTTTCTTTGAATACACAACTCAAATCCGCCCAATGCTCGAGTACATCAGTCATGTATGGGGCGGAGGTGAGTATTCCGCTCTTTTTCTCCTCAACCCTGTCCGATGTAAGAACATCGACGAACCGTCTTTAACTGTCAACCTGCAGTCACTTTCCCATCGCCAGGCAGCTGCTTCCTTTTCTCTCTTCTGTCTTGACTATTTTGGTTTCTGTTCTTCTAAACTCGCTCCAGTGATTCCTCTGCCACTGACATTTTCTCGTTCTCAGGCGCTTAGTCATCGTTATCCCCAGTTGTCAGACTTCTATCTTCCGATCGTTTTAGTTCCCCAGGACTGCTAAATTAAGAAGCACACTTCCCATCTTCGTGTATCCAAACCCTTATAATCATACTCATTTCAGAAGCAGGGGTGACAAATCAATTCTCACTTGAATGTTCCCCGACATAACCCCGACAGTATGTCATATATATATATATATATATATCGCAAACTAGACACCGGACATTTCACTGCCTTTGTGGTGTTATGAATTTTCAGCTGAACAAATCAATGACCATTCCTGCATTCTGAAATGTGGAGTCTGCACCTGGTTAGTGGATATCCCAAGGTCAACATGGATGTTCCGTGTTTGTCTGTTGTCTTTTGATTCCGGAAATGAACAGAGAACTTCAGGTCTCCGCTTTCCTATCGGGAGATATAAACCATTTATATAAGGAAGGATGGATGAGACAAAGGTCTATGTTGTTTGATATGAACTATGTGATATTCTGATTGGTGTTTCCCGTTTCACTGAACGTTATACCTCTCTTACAATAGAACGTTAAATAACAAAATTAAATTGACCGAGGAAATCGAGACGAAACAAAACAGAGCGACTTTGAAGGATCTCTCCAGAATGTGTAAAAACAGTGGATTCAAAAAAGAAATTCTAATCAATTATTACCGGAATAATTAAAGTTATTTCATTCCAGTTATCAACTTACACCTAATTCCAAAAAATTCAAATTGACTTGTCCTTGGACACCAGCCTCAATGATCCACAAGCAACAACGTGCGGTTCCTTCGAAATTGCCGTAGTTCGTGTGGGAAATGATGCCTGATGAATGTTTGAAGTATTCACCGCATTGTGATTTTACCTGTGATTCGTCTACCAATGAAAGAGAGGTAGTAGAGAATGGGATATGAGTTTTACTTTCAAATGAAACATTCTTCTGAATATATTTTTTTGTTCTTTTATCGTTTCGTATAAAATTCGCATTCAAGCATTTACAAACCAATAGACTTCGGACTTCGTGTGCACATTTGCTTGCTGCCTTTCAGCTACCCGTGTCTTTGACTAAGGAAAGGGAGTTAACTGTAGAGTGGTATGTCATCAGTATGATCAAAGTAATCGAGCGAATAAACTCATGTAGCCTCTTTTCGACCGTATTTCATTTCACTTAATGTTGTGTGCTCCTACTCACATTTATGAGTAGTATGGTTTCATTTGCGGAAAAGAATGTGATTGGCAGTTTCTCGCGACAGTAGAAAATTAACAAAACTTTCTAGAATGAATTACTTTGTTGAAAAATGTTAACTACGGACCGTTCCATTCGTTATTCTGTATGTTTTTGGGAATTTTGGTGGCATGTTCCAAATTAGACAACTTATTGCATGCACTCCAATTTATCCATATACGTACTGTTGTTCGTAATAGAAATTCTACTCAAGCCAGCGCTGGTTTTCTGAGAGCACAAAACCGTTTTGTCATACAAGATGTCCTAACCAGGGATTATATTTTTAACTTTATGGCTGAGAGCTGCCGTCAAGATTTTCATTCCCCACAACATAACCCTCACACCACCGATTGTCTGACTTGTCAATCAATGTACGTCCAAAAACGAAATCTGGTGACTTGGGTAAGTCAAATTAAACTGCCATGGTCAATCGGTTGTCTGAATAAGTGGCAACGGTAAACCAAAACTTTTCATGTGATTCCAAAATACACAGAGACTCACCAGTTCCACTTCGAAAAGCATTGTTACGGGGACTAACTGAAATGTAAGGTTAAATAAAAGCTGGGTATTTTTTATGAAATTGAAATAAAAAACCAACAGGAATGAAAATAAATGGTACTTTCTGTAAAAGAGTAGGTGTATCAATTACCAGCCAGTGAAATCTCGGATTTGGTGGAAAACTTTGTTCAAGCAGTTCGGAAAAAAGCGGTAGAATGGCCATATTTTCATCAAGTGGTTTATATTTGATCTACAAAAAAAGTCTGACAGAACAATTGTAAATATTGCAACAATGGTCAGGAGATGTCTGTATGCTCCCCTGTGATTCTTTTTTGAAAATCCACACATAGTTCAACGCTGTCGGAGATTATATCACGGTAATTTGTGAATGCTATCAGGAAACGCCATTCTGTGGCTTTTTGTCGGAGTTTCACTCAGTTTTATACCCACAGGAAGATTCACTATCAACATCATGGTAAGCTGTCTGGACAACTTTATTAAGCCCATGACGTGAGAGCCCGAAATGCTCTCAGTGTAATACGTATTCCATTCGAGAACTTCTACCACACTGTCATAGACAATCAATCATACATGCGTATGCCGTATAACTTGCCTAGTTCGTTTGATGGGAAGTATTTAGTTCCGTGGATGTTACATAATCTGAACTCAATATTATGTTTGACAGGGTACGCTGCTCGAGGAGGTTGATTACTGCTAAAAGTTAACTATAGCCCAAACGTGTTCCAGTGGACCCACGTACGATGGAAACCTGTAGGAATATTTCGGAAATATTAGACGGCTGTATATTCATCGCATTCGCGGTTTTCTTTGATCGCTTTTTCCATAGATTCTTGTTTCACGCTGTGACTTCCTCGAACTAAGGATAACAGGTTATACCCCGATTCCCGAAATAAAGAACTTTGGCATTTGGCATTAAACTCACAACTACTCATGCGTAGTAAAGTGGGATAATTGAAATTATTTTCGACTTCACCTTCAAGCACAATCCTCGGTTCATTCAGTTCCCGAAGCATTATGATTCAGTGTTGAACTCGAACATATTAAGTGCTTGGATTCCAATGTCAGGAGCACAGTGGACCAGTTTAGTTTCAGATTTTACAACCGTTACATCCGAGATCAGCTAACTCTGGTCATGATCAGCTTCCCATTACCATACTATTAACATGTAAACAGGTTCCCAGCATAACTCAACTTGTTTTGTATCCAAATACAAGAAACTCTTGAGATGATGAGGATTCATTATTTTTACACCCATTTCGTTTTTACAAGAGTTAACAACTCACTTTGGTGCCCTAGTATTGTTCACTGTCTGTTACTCACTCATTTGGATAAAACAGCACAATGAAGATTGGAATGTTGAGAGCGGAGCAAAGGGAAAGACAAATAATTCATATAGACTACGGTTGCAAGAATAATGAGTAAATGAGTGGGAGTCGCTGACTGAGACACAGCCATATCATTCAGTGCCCCTAGCCACCGGATATCATGTTCTCGGGGTTCCCATCCCGGGAATCTAAAGGGACCTACGTGACCAAGTGTCCTGTTCGGGGTTTTCGTACCCTCAGGACAGATCTTAGTTTGACTATCCTTGACCTTTTTCCATACCATACCTGTCTCGCAAAACATCACGCGCCGTGAATACCTATTTGGTGGCATACGCAACGTATGTTCCAAACAGCGTAGGCTATGGAGATCGATTACTGGTTTCACTGGACGACCGCGATCACCTAAAACTCTAAGCCATAACTCAACATTGCTTGTCCGTTTTCCTCACTAAACTCGTGTGATGCAGTGTAGACGGCAGTAGTCGAAAACTGACAGCCTCTATTCCTAACGTCTGTCTTCCTAATGGTCAAGTTTCTGCGCTGTATAGAAGAACTGGTGGAAATGCTGGAACATACACTCGACGCCTGAAAGACAACCGGATGTTGTGACTGCGTGAAAAAAATTGTTGGTAAATGCTAGATGAGCCTTCTATATTGCAACTGATAGAGATGTGGTCGATTTAGCTCCATCTTTGTAAAGGGGTTGATGGTTTCCATATAAGTCGGTGTCGTTTCTTGTGCGAGAGGTTTGTGCTTGATAGGGAACGTCCCAGGTAAGCACAAATTTGGAGACTGCCGCTCTTACTGATCAACAGCCTGGACATTGAACATGCCCTGCTACGAGCCAGATTCTCCCAACATTTGGCAAGCAACCACAAAAGGCCAGTGGAAACGAATAATCAGAATACTATGTCATCAATAATTAGAAATTGGTGTTCGAAGCGGAATTATATGATCAACTTCCAACTCAACTACCACCCAAAGGACTCAGTGAACTCTGGACGGTAATCAAGGGAGCGATCCAAATTTCAATCAAAACAAAGGCGGATCCCGGTATACGATCATAGCAAAACGATGGCTCTTCTCGACCCTGGCTGCCGTGCTGGACGTACACAGAGCACAACCCCCTAAAAGGCGAGCTCATCATGAACCTGAGGACTGATCACCAGAAGTGATGAATTGCGAAATGTAGGGATACAGAGAAGGCTGCGGTTATCGGCAGTAGTCAAAAACGATTTTGTTCCATTAGGCGTATAGACTCAAGGAAAGTAGGTGCAGACGAGGGTTCTGACGGCACATTGCTTCATATTCAGCTACACCATCTTGATCCATGGGCAAAGCATTTAAAGGCACAGTTCAGCTTCAACGCTCGGTTGATTAGTATAAATTGGATAGCATGTTACTGACCACAGACTAAATTTGTATTCCAAATCATGTCGCTGTGCGTTGACTGTCATATGGTAACAAACAGGTGTATTTGTGATCTAATTGATATTTTGAATAGATCACATCATTTTATTTCTCGTATGAGGGTAACAGCTTGCTAATGAATACTACTAGCCATAGAGTTCCAGGCAGCATTTATCAAAATTATACCACTGAAGACGCTCCATGCCTAAGTGTGACCAATATCTGATAGGAGAAATGGCGTTTCGGATAGTCCAACAGCTACGTATATTCAACAAATATTCTTAAATAATCACTCCAGTTTGAGCAAAATCCTACCCGGGGGATTATAAAGGTTACAATAAAAAAAACTGTTTTCCCAATGGTAGTTCGTTCTCACATTTATCACACCAATTGTTCAACTGGTCATTTGATATGCGATCAAACTTCGGAAAGCATGATAGGGAATGTAATCGCCCAATTGATAAGTTATCGACAAACAGCTTATCTTGTCTAGCAGTGTTTTCAATAGCACACTCATTCTTTTATGGGATTGGCCCTTTGCAAATGTGACCGTACCTCGGGGCATGTCACCAATTCATTGTGGAACACGGACTTTAAGAATATTATGATGAGTATTTTTACTACTAAATAGTAGTTAAAATATGTCGTCATAAATTGTCAGCAATTGCCGCGCTAGAAAAATAAAATGGACGTTAATTATTTGTATTATGCGACAGAAGTACTCAACACAAATGGAATTTTGGACTTTATCCGTTCCAACCTACACAATCATCGTCATTTTTGAGGGCCTAGATGGCATTTGGATGGAAGGCAGATATACGAAATTATGTTAAATTATCTTTATTGCTAAGGAAAATACATCCTAAAAAAGGAATTTTCACCACACCAAAAGGAATGTACCCGCCATGAACTGGGTTTTGAAACGGGTGTAATGGACATCTCGATTTTGTATTTTGGCATGGCAACTGATAGCCGAAAGGAGTCAGTGGTTGACAGACCGGTGTGATGTTGACATCCTGGTGACTGAACTATGTTTATGTTACTATCAATGATATTGAACAAAAGAAAACATTCATGACGATCAAGTGCCAAATATGGCAAGAAGAAGAAGGCTGATAACGAGAAATCTACATGTGCTACCTTTAGTGAGATCAATTTAAGCACATATGGGACAATGAGATAGTGTAATGAGTGCCCATCGCAATGTGGCATGGCATTTGGGGCAGAAACAGCTAAAAATACCTGGTCATAAACAGATTGAATAACATAAAGGTAAGGGCGTAAGTGGCCTCAAACTTGGTAAGTTGTGTCGGAGATATAGAGCTGATTAGTGATCGGAACTCGGTCGTAGTACGGGGCACTTTATCAAATAACGACTCAACCAAACTAGCCTAACTTCATGAGATACAGAAATCTGATGTGTATATGCATAAACTGGAGCGTCACTTTATATGAGCAACGGCATTGAATGAACATCCTGAAGCCCTCATTCAGTAGAATAACGCCGCAGTTCGTAAATGGTACCTAACAAAATACCGATTATTATTTCGTGGTACCAAAACAATGATGGAATCTGTGTGCACCACAGATTTGAAGCCAATGGAAAACATTTAGTACATCTGTGATGAGCCACCCACCCAAGATGACGCCAGCCAAACGCCTACGCGTTCCAGTTTCCGGACACTGGGACATAGACCAACAGTATCGATCAGTCAACAGCCATACAGTTCAAGCAAAAGCTATATGGGTATGATTCAAAATCTCATGGAGTATTAATGAGTCTTTAATGGTCCACGGGGACAGCAATGGTTTTGTCTCGGTGAGAGTTCTGTTTTTTCGATAAATGTTAGTTAAAATTGAAGATGGCTTAATGAAATTTCATATTTCGGCTTTTAATTGAGTGTTCATCTAGATTCTGAAAACTAGTTAATGATCTTGCATGCAAGAAGGGAGATAGTCTAACACATTATGAAAATATGGTCGGCTATTTTTATCATATTTATGTCTACTTACCAGCGCGAAAGCGTAAACTGAAATGTCCGGTTGGAAAATTTACGATATGATTAAATTTTATCACAACTGATCCACTGGAAGTCATCCGATTGAAGTGCGTGAATACATTACGCTTTCCCAGATAGGTGATTTTCTCTCGTCCAAGGGTCCACATTTCTAACTTATCGGTGAAGTACATCATACTTCCGATCTGGAAACAGGAGTAACGAGGATGAGCTGTAAAACAGTTCAGAGGATTAATCAAAATTTCAATTTTAGCTCGTTGTTCATAACTGAACTGAAATTAATTCTCCCAGTCTGCCATTGAATGTTCCCTTCTCTCGGAACAAAATAACTCTTCTGTCGATACATGCCGCGCAGATGTACTTCAAACGATAGTCAATGAACGTCAAAGAACATATGTAGGAGTTTCTAACTATGGTCAAACTACAATATATAAAGTTGTGAATGACCCGGAACATATTGCCTGTAAGACACAACTAACAAACGAGAACAACCACGGCGTGTTTCCAAGGGACTTTCTTTGAAAGAGTGGCCACCAGCTCCAAGCAAACACTACTTTATAGTTCGCACTGATTGACCACTGAAATTCGTCATGAGCGAACACCCGTCCCAACCTCGAGGAAACGCGGTCATTGGGTTGCATTTGTGCATATTGACAGAAAACTGACCATAGTTCGGTACTACAGATAATCCGTAGGCGATCTTTTTGTCACAAAAACCAGGTGATACTATTAGTAGGAATGTGTGAACATTTCGAGTCATCTAAGTGTTTTATTGAAGGCATTCATAATCGTTTGTCACTGTTACGGTGAAATAATCTCCGCCACATCTTTTGCATTTGATGCACGACTATTTTACCGACCGACACCAACTCACTTGTCTCAATGGTATTAGGTCTTCTGCTTTTACTGTAAACCAGGGTGTAATGCAGGGAGCAATCTTATCCCTTTTCTGTTCTCCTTTTATATCCAGTATTTGTCAGTCACCCCAANCAAATGTTTTCTTTTTTAAATATGCCGATCAAATAGTGGTTGGTGGTGTAGCCCACAACAACAACCCTTCAACGAATCCCCTTCAATCAGTCGTAAGTTCCATCTGTGATTGGTCCGATGGTGTTAACCTTTCTTCAAACCCCACTAAATGCATTCAAGTTTTGTTTTTCA